AAATGATGAAATTATAGAATTTAAGGATTCACCTTGAAAAGTTTTTCTATTGTATATTTTTAATCATCACCCTGAGAAACAGTTGACCCTTGAACAAGAGGAGTTTGAACTCTGGGGTCCACTTGTACATGGATTTTTTTTTTTTTTTTTAAGATTTTATTTATTTATTTGACAGAGACACAGCGAGAGAGGGAACACAAGCAGGGGGAGTGGGAGAGGGAGAAGCAGGCTTCCTGCCAAGCAGGGAGCCCGATGTGGGGTTCGATCCCAGGACCCTGGGATCATGACCTGAGCCGAAGGCAGACGCTTAACGACTGAGCCACCCAGGCGCCCCTGGATCTTTTTTTTTTTCTTTTTTTTAATAATACAGAATGGTGCTGGAAATGTGTTGTCTCTTTATGATTTTCTTAATATTTTCATTTCTCTAGCTTTATTGTAAGAATACAGTATATGATACATATACAAAATATGTATCGTTTGATTGTTACTGGTAAGGCTTCTGGTCAGCAGTAGGCTATTAAGTTTTTGGGGAGTCAAAAGTTATATGGATTTTCAACTGTGGGTGTGATGGGTGTCTGCCCCTAACTGGGGGGGGGTATTTAAGGGTCAGCTTTACATATATTTCTCTAACCCCCCTCCCTCTCCAACCCCTCCCAGTTTCCCTATGGGCCTTTCCAGTCACCTCCCTCTCAGGCAACTACTTTCTGATTTGTAACACCTTAGATTACTTTTCTTTTGGGCCTTTTCTTAGTCATTAAAGAAACAACAGTGTTGTGTCTGTTATCTTAATCTAACTTCTGGAAAACCTGACAAATGGATCATCAGAAATCCATTTTTGCTTGTATAAAATTCTAATCTTTGTGTGAGAATGTTGAACGGAAGAAAACTACTTCTAGGGGCGCCTGGGTGGCTCAGTCTGCCTTCGGCTCAGGTCATGGTCTCAGGGTCCTGGGATCGAGTCCCACATCGGGCTCTCTCTGCTCCACAGGAAGCCTGCTTCTCTCTCTCTCTCACTCTTCCTGCCTGTGTTCCCTCTCTAGCTCTGTCTCTCTCTGTCAAATAAAGAAATAAAATCTGGGTGCCTGGGTGGCTCAGTTGGTTAAGCGACTGCCTTCGGTTCAGGTCGTGATCCTGGAGTCCCTGGATCGAGTCCCGCATCGGGCTCCCTGCTGAGCAGGGAGCCTGCTTCTCCCTCTGACCCTCTTCCCTCTCGTGCTTTCTATCTCTCATTCTCTCTCTCTCAAATAAATAAATAAAATCTTTAAAAAAAAAATCTTAAAAAAATACATATTTCTATTCTTTGTCAGACACAAGTTTTGGGGGCTAGAAAGTTACATAAGAAATGGTCTCTAAAGAAACAACATTTAGGAAGAAGCTTGCATTCTTTTTTCAAAATGTTTTATCTGACCTTGACTAATGTAGAATTCTTGAAATTTTTGGCTGTTTTAATTTAGAAATCAGTTTTTTTTTTTAGCAGTGAAACTGCAGTTTTTTTAATTTTTCTTTTATTTATTTTTATTTTTCTTTTATTTATTTGACAGAGTACAAACAGGGGGAGCGGCAGGCAGAGACAGAGGGAGAGGGAGAAGCAGGCTCCCTGCTCAGGAGGGAGCCCGATGTGGGGCTCGATCCCAGGACCCTGGGATCATGACCTGAGCCGAAGGCAGACACTTAACCGTCTGAGCCGTCCAGGTGCCCCTTTATTTATTTATTTTAAAATATTTTTTATTTTATTATTTATATGACAGAGAGAGAGAGAGAGAGTGAGAGAGGGAATACAAGCAGGGGGGAGTGGGAGAGGGAGAAGCAGGCCTCCCGCTGAAAAGGGAGACCGATGTGGGGCTCTCCGCCAGGACCCCGGGATCATGACCTGAGCCGAAGGCAGACACTTAACGACTGAGCCACCCAGGCGCCCCTATAGTTTCTTTTTAATAAAATGCTGTACATATTTAGTCACATGGAGTGTTACTCTTTTTCAGTTTTACTGATACGTAATTGACAGGATTCTTTATTTTTTTGACAGGAATATTCTTTTTAAATAGTGCTACCATTTGCCTTCGAATTCATTGGTCCATATGATAGAAGAGCTAAAAGGAGAGACTTTAAGAGCCAGAGCTTCTACTTTAATGGAATCATAAAGCGCTTGTATTATAAATGTAAGCCTTAGGAGGCTGTAAGGGTATTTGAGGCAACGCTGATGACTGACATTAAAACTTGTAACTTGAGTAGCAGACTATTGAAAATTTGGTTTCACCATAGCTGTTGCATGTTTCTCAAGTTGAAAATTTCAACCCCAAATAAAGTACCATCTATTTGGAAAAAAATAAAAAATGCTAATGGAGAATCTAAAATATTCAATTATATTAAACCATTAAGATAATAAAATGTTGGAAACTTGGTAAATGATACGGATTTTAGTATTGGTTTCAGAATTAATAACTGTTAAGTTCACAAATGAGGGGCTCCTGGGTGGCTCAGTCGTTCAGTGTCTGCCTTTGGCTCAGGTCATGATCCCAGGGTCCTGGGATCGAGCCCCACATCAGGCTCCCTGCTCAGTGGGAAGCCTGCTTCTCTCTCTCCCACTCCCCCTGCTTGTGTTCCCTCTCTCCTTATGTCTGTCTCTGTCAAATAAATAAAACCTTTAAAAAAAAAAAATCCACTGGGATGAAGATCAATTTAGCATATAAATGTTTAGATTTACTTTTTTCTTGGCTTTAGGGGGACCTGAAATAAAATATTTGTAATGGTATAATCAAACCAATAATGATCTTTCTTTATTCTTTTAATTTGAATTATATAGGTAATCTCGAAGAAAGGGAAAAGAGAAGTTCTAGAGGTCTACAGATTAAAATTTTTCTTACCTTTGATATATAATCTAGAGGATTTTTACTATATTGCATAGGAATATTGGATGAGGAAGTAGTATTTGGTAAAATGATTTTGAGTAATTTATCTTATAATGAGACTACTTGGCAGTATCAAAGAATGCAGTTAGGTTGATAATACTGGCCTCATAATTACATTTGTAATATTGACTGGGAAATAAGAGCAGATGGTACTCAAGAGAAGCGAGTGCAACTAGAATAGAAAAATAGGGGTTTACTTAATGTGTATTTTCTTTGATTTATCTGTCCCGTTGTGAAGGTTCCCTTTAAATTGCTTTTTTTTTAAATTGTGCGATGTTTAGCATTGTTTTTCTTCTTTAATTTTTTTTTTTTAATTTATTTATTTGACAGAGAGGGACACAGCGAGAGAGGGAACACAAGCAGGGGGAGTGGGAGAGGGAGAAGCAGGCTTCCTGCTGAGCAGGGAGCCTGATGCAGGGCTTGATCCCAGGATCCTGGGATCATGACCTGAGCTGAAGGCAGATGCCTAACAGCTGAGCCACCCGGGTGCCCCAGATGTTAGTGATTTTTGAAGAGAGTAGCTAAGCCCTTTTAAGGAAGGAAAATTTATACGGAAACTGTAATACATAAAAAAGTGCAGTTCTGGTTTAAATGAAGTAATGGGATTTATTAAAAACTTGAAAATCACAGGCTAGATGACCGTTAATATTTTCTGGTGTCCAACTGTAACTTTGAAGTTCTGAAAAATTTAGGATCATTAAGAACATCTGAAATTCATTTTTTTTGGACTATGAGCCATGGAAGAAATAGAACAATTTCTCATTCTGTGTTAGTCTAAGTACATTAGTTTAAGACTTAAAATCCAGATTCTTGTTATTGATACTCTCTTAACCGTACCTGCAGGTAAACTCTCCAGTATGACTGGGAAGGTATTCTGTATTGATCTAGTGCCTGCAATCTGGAGAAAATACAGACCGGCCTTGAACTAATTTCTTAGGTTTTGGTGAAGAATAATGCAGATGCACTAGATGAGGATAAACAGATCTCCACAAATTGTTCAGAATTGACCAGTCTGTTTTGCCCATCCTTTGAGGAAACTGAAATAAAATTTCTTGCCTTTTATACTGTAATTGATCTGTACATGTCTCTCCGTTTGCCTGTATGTTTAACTTCAGGATGATTTTATCTCAATTGAAAAGTTGGATTATCTCATGCGAAGTATTTTTTCCAAAAAGTTTTGTTTTGATAATAACTGACAGTAATTGAGGACTTACTGTGTGTCAGCTGCCTTTTCTTAATACTCAAAGACACTAAAGATACTAACTTTAAATCATCATGGTTTTGGGGTGCCTGGGTGGCTCAGTCGTTAAGTATCTGCCTTCGGCTCAGGTCATGATCCTGGGGTCCTGGGATCAAGCCCTACATCAGGCTCCCTGCTTGGTGGGAAGCCTGCTTCTCCCTCTCCTATTCCCCCTGCTTGTGTTCCCTCTTGCTGTGTCTCTCTCTGTCAAATAAAATTTTGAAAAAAAAATCATCATGATTTTGAGGTGCTGAGATCATTTTGTTGAGTAAAAACATTTTGTTTAGTTCACCCATTTTCAGATTATTTTTGGTTTCATCATAAAGTAAGCTTAAAATTTTTAGATTTTGTGGTTCTCTATTAAAGATACAAAAAATTTTCCTGATTTAGTTTGATTAAAAATGTGATCATGTGTGCCTGTATGTCAAAGCTTATCACTCTTGAATCTGATATTGCCACAAATAAGAATGTGTTTGGAATCTTAGAACTGGAACACTCCTAATTGAGTTTAAAAATACAGAGAAGTTATGATAGGGTACATGCTGGATATATGTACCGTTGACGTTCTTATATTCATTTTAAAGAAATTGACTGTTGGGAATAATGAATTCTTTATTGGCAATCCCCTCCCCCCCCCAATTCATCTCCTTGCAGTAAATTTGACTAAAAATCTCACCTGGTCTGTGTGGGGTTTATTTGTTCTTATGGTCTTTATATTTTAAAACCAAGGGCTGTTGACATGCCTTGTCTTACTTTGAGTTAGTTTTAGTTAAATGATTCAGTTTTCTCCCCTGCTGCTTTTCCCCCTTGTACTTGATATTTCAGGTTGAACATATTTGACTTTTTTTTCCCAGGTTGAATTGACCAAAGCAATGGTTATGGAGAAGCCTAGTCCCCTGCTGGTCGGGCGGGAATTTGTGAGACAGTATTACACGCTGCTGAACCAGGCCCCAGACATGCTACACAGGTAAAACATTGTTTTTTATCCTGCATCTAAAGTTGTTTAGCATGTAGGTACTTAATACTTTAGAATCTCTTATGCATCATGCAACTTATAGGGTTGTTGCATATAGTGCTTGGTACATGAGAACCAGTAAATGATTTCTGTTAAAATTATAATTTTATTTTATTTTTTTAAGATTTTTAAAGACATTTGAGAGATCATGTGTGTGCACATGTGCTAGCAGGGGGAGGCGCAAAGGGTGAGGGAGAGAATCCCAAGCAGATTCCCTGCTGAGTGTCCAATCCATGGTAGGACTATCCCACAACCCTGAGATCATGACCTGAGCTGAAATCAAGAGTCAAATGTAGGCGCCTGGGTGACTCAGTTGGTTAAGCGACTGCCTTCAGCTCAGGTCATGATCCTGGAGTCCCGGGATCGAGTCCCGCATCGGGCTCCCTGCTCAGCGGGGAGTCTGCTTCTCCCTCTCCCTCTCCCCCTGCTCATGCTCTCTCTCTCTTTCTCTCTCAAGTGAATAAATAAAATCTTTAAAAAAAAAAATGTGTTGAAGACTATTCCCGTAATATTTTTGTGTTGATGTGCTTTTAAAAATTGGGGAAACTTCAGTAGAAATGGTATAGGCTTTTAAATTTATGAAATAAACATGGAAAGCTTTAGTAAAAACCATGTTTACAGTTATTCTCTGTATATGCAAACATTTTTTACCTACTGTCTTTTAGCTTTTTTACTTGGTAATCTGGGGTCCTCATTATGGGTCCTACATGTATCACATTAATTTTAGTATCCACATCCACATAGTTTTTATTTTAGAGATGTAGCATACTTTAATCCCTAGTGATGAATTTTTGTTGGTTGCTTCCATTATTTCCTCTTACAAGCTGTCCTGCATTATACAGAACTATAAATTTATGCGGACTTGTTAGAATAATTTCTTTTTTTTTTTTTTTTAAGTTTTTTTTATTAGCGAGTGAGAGCCTGCGCGTGCATGCAGGGGCAGAGGGGAAGAGAGTCCTAAGCAGACTCCGTGCTGAGTGTGGAACTGGGCTCGATTTCATGACCCTGACATCACGAACTGAGCTGAAACCAAGAGTTGGGACGTTTACGGACTGCGCCACTCCAGGCGCTCCTAGACTATTTCTTAGAGATTCTAAAATGTGTATTTGCTGGACGAGACTATTTTCCTCTATACTTTGACCAGCTTGCATATTGGATATTACATGCTTATTGGGTGCAAAAGAAAATTTATAAATTTGTTTTGAGTCCTTGCTCTGAGAATGGAAAATACCTCGTATATTTTTTTTTTTAAGGCTTTACAATTTTCCAAACAGTTTCACCTGTTTCCTATTGATCTTTACAAAAACCTTTTTAGTAAGGCATTGTTAGGACAACTTTATTTTGCAGATAAAGATGGTAAGGGGTTAAAAATTTGTTGGTGTTGGCATGACTATTAAGTGATTTAACAGGTTTTCTTTTTTTTTTTTTTTAAAGATTTTATTTATCTGAGGGGGAGAGAGTGAGAGACAGACACATGAAAGGGGGGAGGGTCAGAGGGAGAAGGAGACTCCCTGCTGAGCAGGGAGCCCGATGTGGGACTCGATCCTGGGACTCCACGATCATGACCTGAGCCGAAGGCAGTCGCTTAACCAACTGAGCCACCCAGGTGCCCGAACAAGTTTTCGACCCTCTTCCTTTTTTCTTATTTTTGTGTTTTATGTCAAAATTTGATTCTATGCCCTCAGGTTAGATAAGTTTGGAATTTGAAAAGGGGCAGGAGTTGAAAGATAACTAAATAAATTGGTATGTTTCTTGTCAATATTGATATTTTTTCACATTTTGTCTCTGAAGTGCAGCTTAGATATACAGGCATGTCTCCTTTTGTTTTGCTTTATGATGCTTTGCAGATACTTTTTTGCAAATTATAGGTTTGTTGCAATCTTAACATGGAGCAAGTTTATTGGTGCCATTTTTCCAGCAGTATTTGCTCACTTTGTCTCTTTGTCACATTTTGGTAATTCTCAGAATATTTCCAACTTTCCCATTACTATGTTTGTTAATGGTCATCTATGGTCAGTGATCTTTGTTATTGTTATAGTTATATCGGCGCTCGTGCCCATCCATGTAAGACCGTGAACTTAATGTTCAGTAAACGTTTTGTGTCTTCTGACTCCTCCACCAATGTACCCCATCTCCCTATTCCCTGAGACACAGCAGTAGTGAAATTAGGCCAGTTATTTAACCTTATAATGGCTTTTAACTGTTAAGTGAAAGGAAGAGTCCCATGTCTCTTCTTCACATCAAAAGCTAGAAGTAAGCTTAATGAGGAGGCAATGTTGAAAGCTGGAATGGACCAAAAGCTAGGCCTCTTGGGCCAGTTAGCTAAGTTCTGAGCACAAAGGAAAAGTTTTTGGTATTAAAAGTGCTACTCGAATGAACACACAAGTTATAAGAAAGCAGAGCAGCTTTATTGTGGATATGGAGAAAGTTTGAGTAGTTTGAGGATTGAACAGGCCACAACATTCCATTAAGCCAAAGCCTCATCCAGAGCAAGGCCCTCACTCTTCAGTTCTTTGAAGGCTGACAGATGTGAAGCAGCTGCAGCAGTAGAGTTTCAACCTAGCAGACGTTGGTTCATGAGGTTTTAAGGGAAGAAGCTGTCTCCGTAAAATAAAAGTGCAAGGTGAATCAGCAGGTGTTGATGTGGAAGCTGCAGCAAGTTCTTGAGAAGAATTAGCTAAGATAATTAATGAAGGTGGCTACACTACATAATAGATTTTCAGTGTAAATGAAACTGCCTTATATTACTAGAAGAGATTCATGGGAAGATGTCAAACTATCAAGGGGAACAGTAGTTAAGTTGATTCTAGCCCTCATGGATGATTTTGAGGAGTTTAAAACTTCAGTGGAGGAAGTAATTGCAGATGAGGTAGGAATAGCAAGAGATTTAGAAGAAGTGGAGAAGTGCTGCAATCTTATGATAAGACTTTAACAGATGAGGAATTGCTTATGGATGAGCAAAGAAAGTGGTTTCTTGAACTGGAATCTACTGGTGAAGACGCTGTGAGGATTGTTGAAGTGACAACACGATAGGATATTACATGGACTGAGTTGTTAAAGCAGTGTCAGGGTTAACTGAGAGGATTAACTCCCAGTTTTTGAAAGAAGTTCTGTGGGTAAAATGCTATAAACAGCATCATATGCTATAGCGAAATTGTTAGTGAGAAGACGGGTCAATTGATGGGGGAAAATGTCATTGTTGTCTTTAAGAAATTGGCACAGCCACCCCAGCCTTCTGCATCCACCACCTTGATCAGTCAGCAGCCATCCACATTGAGGTAAGACCCTCTACTAGCAAAAAGATTAGTAGGACTCACTGAAAGCTCAGGTGATGGTTAGCATTTTTAGCAGTAAAGTGTTTTTTTAATTAAGGTATGCACACTTTTCATAGAAGTACTATTATACACTTAATAGGCTATAGTGTAGTGTAGACATAACTTTTATATGCACTGGAAAACCAAAAAATCTTTTTGACTGTTTATTGCGATATTCTCTTTATTGTGCTGGTCTGGTACTGAACTTGCAATGTCTCTGAGGTATGCCTGTAATGAAAAGTGGATTAGCCAGCAGTGAACTGATTCACTGGCTGACGTGCAACCTTTTAATAACTTTAAAATTTGCAGGGTACACTTGGAGTAACTGTGGGCCCAAATTTGTCCTCTTTTGAGGGGGCAGGCAGAATCAGAATGTCAAATGACATGTATGGGTTCTTTTGTGAAAAGTCGTATACCTGTAGTATAGTTATCAAGAAATTCTAATAGTAGTTATCTCTGCATTGGGGCACTTTGTGCCTGTGTCAGGTTTTCCTGATCGAGTATTAAAATGAAAACAAAAGGGCACCTGGGTGGCTCAGTTGGTTAAGCGACTGCCTTTGACTCAGGTCATGATCCTGGAGTCCCAGGATCGAGTCCCACATCCGGCTCCCTGCTCAGTGGGGAGTCTGCTTCTCCCTCTGATCCTCCCCTCTCTCGTGCTCTCTCTCTCTCTCAAATAAATGAATACAATCTTAAAAAATAAAAATAAAAAAATGAAAACAAAACAATTGAGGATATAGATGAATTAAAGCTATGGGGAATTAAAATTTGAAGCTCTTAATGCATCAACAGAAGTTATTAAAAATTACTCTTAAACTTCACCTGCTTGAGTTACTGAGTTTTAAGTAGGCTCCGTGGCCAGCACGGAGCCCACCATGGGGCTTGAACTCTCAGGACCCTGAGATCAAGACAGCTGAGATCAAGAGTCGGACTTAATTGACTGAGCCACCGAGGCATCCCAGTTACTGGGTTTTTAGTGGAAACCCTTCATATGCATTCTCAGATATATAAAAGGATTGAACTCTCCAAGCCTGTGGGAGGGTACAGATGTCCTTATCTGTATCAAAGCTGCCTGTTTTTTCTAGAGTGAAAACAGGAACTTCTGTTTCATTCTAAGTAGCCTTCCTGACATGAACTACAAGATTTTTCCCAACACAATCATCCTGCTCTGAAATCTGGAGCTTACTTACGTCTTGTAAACTAAAGTGTTCTGCCTAATTGACCAAATCTCTTTCCATTCAGTAAATATTGAGTGACATGAAGGGGTAGATCTATGATTGCATACAGAAATGAAAAAGCAAATCCATTCTTCCAGGAGTCTATCAGTGAGGCACGTGGTACCAAACATGAAAAGCGAGTATCTAGTCTTAGGCTACTTGAAACTGACAAGTAAATTATCTCTTTGTTTTTCAGATTTTATGGAAAGAACTCTTCTTATGTCCATGGGGGATTGGATTCAAATGGAAAGCCAGCAGATGCGGTCTATGGACAGAAAGTAAGCATTTCAAGTTTTCTGTAGGTTGTTACGCAGCTAGAAAATAACCCATACAATTGAGGCAGATACATATTTGGTAGATTTACTGATACTTAAAGATACATTCATAACGATTTGGTAAATATAGCCATTGAAAAGCTTAAGGTTTTTTTGTTCAGGAGGTAATTTATTTTAGCTTGGGGATCATTTACTGTAAACAGTTTTTAGGTCTGTCAGCTCAAGACAATTTTAAAAAGTTCAGGGTGGTCACTGGGAATAAACTGTTCTAAGGCAAATTAGAGTAGGGGCTGTGTAGTTTGTGATTTAAACATGGAGATTATCTCTACTTGTGTTGTATTAGGAAGTTCTCTGTTGTTGGAGATTTTGTAAATTTTACGTCATTAACTCTTGCCTTGATTCCTTAGGAGATCCATAGGAAAGTGATGTCACAAAACTTTACCAATTGCCACACTAAGATTCGCCATGTTGATGCTCATGCCACTCTGAATGATGGTGTAGTGGTCCAGGTGATGGGATTGCTCTCTAATAACAACCAGGCTTTGAGGAGATTCATGCAGACATTTGTCCTTGCTCCTGAGGTATGAAAAAAGAAACAATGAAAGGTTATGCATGTCTTTTTAGAAACTATTCATTTTGAAATTTCAAACTTAAAAGTTGTAATAATAGTACAGTAATTCATACTCCTTACCTAGAACCACTGCCAACACTTGCCTATATGTTTGTAATTCTTTTTCTGTTTACCTGTCATTTTAATTCAAAACCATTTGAAAATAGGTTGGAGACAATCATGCCTAGTCATCCTTAGATACTTTTCCTAAGTGTAAGGAATACTCTTTCATAACCACAGTACAGTTACCAAATTTAGGAAGTATTGATGTTAATACAGTTAGCAATCTGTAGCCCATATTTAAATTTTGGTGATTGTCCCAATAATATCCTTTATGGTATTTTTTCTTTTCCTGGTCCAAGATTCAATGCAGGATTACACATAATATAGCTGTCCTGTCTTTTCAGTCTCCTTAAACGTGCAATAATTCTTTAATTTTTTGTTTTTCACGATATTGACATTTTTGAAGAGCACAAAGTACTTTGTAGAATACCTCAGTTTGAATTGTCTGATACTTCTTTATGATCAGATTTAGGTTATACACACATTAGTCTTTTGGTGCCTTACATTAGGAAGGCACTAGATGTTGTTTAGTCATATGAGTGATGTTAACAATTGATTACTTAGTTAAGGTGATGGTCACCATGTTTTGCTGCTGTGAAGTTAGCATTTTTATTTTTCTTATTAGTAAATTGTGGTTGTCCTTGAGACTATGCGAATACCTTGTTCTTCATCAAACTTTTGTCCGCTAGTTTTAGCATTGTTCTTGCTGGGGTCAGCTGCTACTCTAATGGTTATAAATGGTGATTATCTATTTCTGTCATTTGGTATTCATTAGTTGGCATTTTACAGTAAAGCACTCTGCCTTCTGTCTGCTGTTATTTGTGGACTGTTTGTTTATTTCATGGATTTAACCCACTAATAATGTCTAAAATGTCCCAGATCTATTAAGTCTGAGCTCCTTCAGGCTGGCTTCTGTTTGTTTTTGGCGAAGGGAGCACTTTATAACTTTTGTGGAACAAGATGTTTCAGGCTCATCTTGGACTTTCCCTGCTCTAGCCCCAGCCCCCATTCTGGTATCTGCTGTTTCTTCCAGGAGCCCTGGTTCTTTTTAGTTACCATGCTCTGCATGAAAGGGTCACAGGTTTATGTTGAATAATTATATTTGTACTGTCTTTCTGACTGGTGCAGACTGAATGGAGTCAGAACGCCTATCTGCATAAGCATGTGGATGGAAGTGGCTCAGTAGCGATTAGATGTTTTCTCTAGCATTACCCTTAAGATAATTTTCTGTCCAGAATGATGAATCTAAAACCCCTATCCTTTTACTGTTAGAAAAATTACAGGTTTCATTTTAGTTAATGAGTTTTAGAGGATGGCTTAGATTATCTGTAGTATAAAACTTGATGGAGTTCTAACTATACAAAGAATCATGTAGGATATGATTACCAGTTATTTCCAGTTTGCTTAAAGTTCCTTTTCCCATTAAAGAGGAAGAATCTAACATTACCTTAGTATGATGCATTTTTACATGAACTGTCTCAAAGCAAATACTAATACTCAAAGCTGTGAGGTGGTTTTTTTTTTTTTAATAGATGAGACAGTATTAGTAACTGAATAACTAGTTAATAACATAGTTGGATTTATATTCTGGTGTGTCTTCTACCTAGTGTGGGCAAACTTTCTCAGCTCTACCACCGTTGAGTGTTTATATCAATATTGTTGGACACAGATATAAGGGAATTTTAAATACCCACTGCAGTTGGTATTCTGTTTTTATTCAAAAATTGATTTGAGGTGTGTGGCATCTTACATACTTAGAGCTTTACCAGGGTTTGGATATCCATCTGCTGGTGTTTTAAGGAAGCAATATATTTGAGTGTAGTTTTTAGTGGCTATAATGTAGAGCAGGGTTTTTCATCCTTGGTGTTATTAACGTTTTGGGCTGAATAATTTTTTTATGGCTGGCTGTTCTGTGCATTGTGGGATGTTTAGCAGCATCCCTGCCCTTTTCTCAGTAGTTTCAGTTGCACTCCCCCATGTGAAAACTGAAATCTCTCCAGACACTGCCAGCTGTCTTCTGGTGGTGCAGTATTTTCCTTAGTTGAGAACCACTGGTGTAGGGTGACATAGCTTTTTCAAAGTCTGCTGAATAAATGAAAAGTTTTTGTTGGCATTGCAGGGCTCTGTTGCAAATAAGTTCTACGTTCACAATGATATCTTCAGATACCAAGATGAGGTCTTTGGTGGCTTTGTCACTGAGCCTCAGGAGGGTAAGTTACTTGTCTAAATTTTTTTTGATGGCATCAGGTTGACTTGAAGACAGTATGGGTTTCTTGAAAAAGAATTTTTTTTTTAAGATTTTATTTATTTATTTGACAGAGAGAGACACAGCGAGAGAGGGAACACAAGCAGGGGGAATGGGAGAGGGAGAAGCAGGCTTCCTGCCGAGCAGGGAGCCTGATGCGGGGCTCGATCCCAGGATCCTGGGATCATGACCTGAGCCGAGGGCAGATGCTTAACGACTGAGCCACCCAGGCGCCCCATTGAATGTTTTTATTATACTCTATATTCTTCATTAATAACTTCTAATTGTCAGGACAGAGGAAGGGGGCGCCTGGGTGGCTCAGTTGGTTAAGTGACTGCCTTCGGCTCAGGTCATGATCCTGGAGTCCTGGGATCGAGTCCCACATCGGGCTCCCTGCTCAGCAGGGAGTCTGTTTCTCCCTCTGACCCTCTTCCCTCTCATGCTCTCTATCTCTCATTCTCTCTCTCTCAAATAAATAATTAAAATCTTTAAAAAAAAAAAAAAAAGAGGAAGGGTCTGAGTTTTTAACCTACAGGGAGCTAATAGGTTAGCCTATTTCATGGAAGACCTAAAACTCCTAAGTCAGTAGTAGGTAATTACTCACTGCAACAGTGTTAAGCATTTTTGCCACAATTTCCACAGGACACCATGAAGTCCAGATGATACCTGCATTGGAGTAGGGTGCATTATAGGAGTGGAACCCTAAGTTTAAGGAATCAAAATCTTTTATAATGGGCAGTGAACATACCTGCCCTTTGCTCTAGAGGGAGACACTGTTTTTCTGAGGCTGTTTGCTGTATAAATGTTCTTAAAAGATAGTTTGAAACAAAGGGTAGCCATTGCCTTAGTTGTAAGATGTGCAGGTATGTGAGAAACCCATGACGAATTGCCTCTAAACACTAATAATAATCAGTTTATTAGTGTTTTCTGTTAAGCTGAAATGATTCTAAATGCTTTATATTTATTGTGTAAGACAACAGGTTTATAGATAAGTACTTTAAGTACTACTCTTATTTAATGGATTAGGGCCCTGAGATGCAGAGAAGTAATTCGCCTGATACTGTATATCTAGTTAGGTGGTAGAGCCTACATTGGATTATGGACAGTATGACCTCAGACTCCCATGTTCTCAACCCAAACACTATAATAGCCTTAATTCTGTCCTTAAAGCCTTTCCCATGATACTACCAAATTGCTGTGCTTTATTTATATATATGTGTGTGCTTATTTCATTACTTTTTTTTTAGTTTCGTGTGTAAGATATAGTGATTGCACACTTCCATACAACACCTAGTGCTCATCACAATTACACCTTTTAATCCCCAACACGTATTTAACCCATTCCTCCACCCACCTCATTACTTTGTTGATCATGATGAGCATTGTGAAAGTGAATATAAAGCTGACCTTTTGAACAACGTGGGGGTTAGAGGCACTGCCCCCACCACCCCTGCCCCCGAATCCCCGTGTAACTTTTGACCCTACAAAAACTTAACTGTTAATAGTCTACTGTTGACTGGAAACTTTACTGATAACATAAATGGTCAATTAACACATATTTTGTATGTTGTATGTATTATATATTCTTAAGGTAAGCTAGAGAAAAGGAAATACTATTAAAACTCTAAGAAAAAGAAAATACATTTACAGTACCGTACTGTATTTATCAAGAAAAATCTGCATATAAGTGGACCTGCACAGTTCAGACCCTCTTGTTCAAGGGTCATGTGTATTTGAGAATTAAATAAGCACTAATTACTTGAAATTTGTTTTCTTATATAGAATCTGAGGAAGAGGTAGAGGAACCTGAAGAAAGACAGCAGACACCTGAGGTGGTACCTGATGATTCTGGAACTTTCTATGATCAGACTGTCAGGTAAGAAAAGCTTTGTTCATCTCTCCAGAGCTGCGTGAGAATTGAGGTTGTCTTGTCTTTCCCTTTGTTGGAGGGCAGTCATATTCTCTCAGACTTATTTCATAATATAACAGTAATTTCCTAGAAGAAAGGTTTTGCTTTTGATATCACTGAGCTAAGAAAAATAACTTGCTTGGCGGTAAGTGAAAAATAGATTTTGGGATTTCTTATCAAGTATTTAATATATCAAGGCATTGCATTAAGTACTTTGGGGGAAATAAATATGTTCAAGGACTTATTTAAAGATCAGGCATAAATTGATAGAAATTCAGACATGAATTAAATAGCAGTTAATTTCAATAATTAACTCAGACACCAAATGTGTGACTATCTTAAGCTGTGTTTTTTCCTCTGCATCCAGAACAAAAATGTTTGATAGGAATAGAAATGAATATTTACTTGTTGCCATGTGATATGAAACCGTTGGTGTTAGTATTTAGTGCTTAAAGCTTAAAGGATATTTTCATGTATTTCTCAAGGTGTGGTGATGGACTAATAACCACATTTACTCATCTGGGTTGCTGGTTGAAAATCTATTGTCCCATCACAAACATGCCAAATTAGAATTTCAGGGGGGAAAACTGCAACATTAACAAACACTCCTTGTGATTTATGTGGAAGTTTTAAGAGCTAGTATTCTGAATCATAACTAATGTCTTTTTTTTCTCTAAAATTGTTTGTGATTTATTATGAGAGGCTTTTTTGATGGTAAAAATTGCATAATATAAATTTACCTTCTTAACCTTTTTAAGTGCATTGTGTAGTAATGTGTAACTATATGCACATAGTTATGCAATCGGATCTCTAGAACTTTTCATCTCAAAACTAAAACTATACCCATTAAAAAACTCTTTCCCCTTACCCACAGCCTATTAGTCTTTTGTTATGTGTGGTAGGTAAATTGTGAGAGTTTTGGGATTATAACAGAAACCACGATTTGGTTCATTTTGATCTATTTTGATGTATTTGCTTATCAGAATTTAGCAAATCTGCAGTTAAGATTTGCTCATTGAGTGCTCTTCTAAAAAGTTGTCTTGTTTTAATATTCAGATATGGAATTCCTAGATTTTTTTTGGAGAGCTATTTTTTGGTTTAGGTTTCTATAGTTAATAAATATGTGGTAATTTCTTGCCAAATCAGTAGAGTCAGAATGATATTTCTCTAATTTTCCTGTGAAAGCAATGACTTAGAAGAACATTTAGAGGAACCTGTTGCTGAACCAGAGCCAGATCCTGAACCAGAACCAGAGCAAGAACCTGTATCTGAAATCCAAGAGGAAAAGTCTGAGCCAGTATTGGAAGAAACTGCCTCTGAGGATATGCAGAAGAGTTCTTCCCCAGCACCTACGGACATAGCTCAGACAGTACAGGAAGACTTGAGGGTATGCAATATGTCTTTATTCTTACTCTATTTCTGGTTGATTTTTAAAAATCTCTCTTCTCCTTTATTATTGTTATATTGACTTTTGTAGGTACATTTTTTGGTTCAGGGAAATTTCTTACATATTGAGCCATCCCTCAGATAAGTAAGATGCATATTGTTTTTATTTATTTATTTATTTATTTATTTTTTATTTTTTTATTTTATTTTTTTTTAAGATTTTATTTATTTATTTGAGAGAGAGAGAATGAGAGATAGCACGAGAGGGAAGAGGGTCAGAGGGAGAAGCAGACTCCCTGCTGAGCAGGAAGCCCGATGCGGGACTCGATCCTGGGACTCCAGGATCATGACCTGAGCCGAGGGCAGTCACCCAACCAACTGAGCCACCCAGGCGCCCAAGATGCATATTGTTTTATAAAAGTAACTCTCCTCCCCTCCCAAGGAAACTTGAATACTTTTTATTAGACCAGAAATTTCAGGTGTTACTTTATCACCATATTAATAACCCCTCATTTTTTTAATATTTTGTTTCAAATTATGACATGCTTGTTACAACCAATAAGAGATAATGTATCTTTTTTGAAAAATATGGCACAATAGACACTCCTGCTTTTTTTCTGAAATCTAATTGAGGATAACTTTACAGTAGAAGTAGAAACAAACTATGAAATATAGCTACTTTTTTATTTAGAATACTTGATTTCAAAAGTTTGAAGCTTTTCAGTTAGTCCTCCGTCTCATCAGGGTGATGTTAACTGAAATCACAGAACCTTTACATTTGTGAAGGCATATGTTTTAATGCTTTATTTATGGGGTCAGGGTTCTTATGTCATTTATCTAATAGTTAATTCAAGTGCTTCTGTGCTAGGCATTGTTCTAGGTATGGGCACTATTGGTTAAATCGATAGTGTTCTTGGTCTCTCTCTGGCAGTGATTAGGTGAATAGGAAAGAGAAATGTGAAATGACTTCAGCTTGCCGGTAGAAAAGTAGGTTGGCTGGATTGGGAAGGAATGACTAATTAGGTGGCTATTGTAGTAGTTCTGGAGAGAAATACTGATAACCTGGGATGAAGGTTGTGGCAGTGAAGATAATAAGGTAAATAGCAAGATTTGGTAAGTTTGATATGGATTGAAAAGGTGTTCAAGGTAATTCTAAAGTTTTGTCATTGAATTGATGTTTGTGCCATCAGTTGGAATCATAGGAGGAAGAGCTGGTTTTGGAGGAATTTTCTTTGATTCACAAACTTGAAATTGAGTGAAAGGAGCTTCTTAAGACTAAACTTTTCGTATTTTGCTGTACTTGATGACTAGTTCTAGGGAATTTTAGTACTAAATTTTGTAAGTAGGGGGAGAAAAGGAATCTCTAGGTACTTACAAAGTAACTCCATTCTACCTGTGAAAATGTGATTCATATGTACAAGAAATAACTAAGAGCTTTTGTATTGTTTTGATATGGGTAATCAGTTATTGTTGTTGTTCCCTTAGACATTTTCTTGGGCATCTGTGACCAGTAAGAACCTTCCACCCAGTGGAGCTGTTCCAGTTACTGGGATACCACCTCATGTTGTTAAAGTACCAGCTTCACAGGTGAGTTTCTAAGCTTGTATATTAGGCCCATTTGCTTGTATTTCATGTAATTTGGTTCCACATTGGTTTAGAGAATGTGGGAGCTGGTACATAGAGTAGAGAAGAGGTGGTTTTTAATAATTTGTTTTGTGAGAGAATTGTCATTTTCTCTTTATTTGAGAGAGAGCATGAACGTGCACTTATGTGCAAGGGGAGGAACAGGGACAAGCCCACTCTGCACTGAGTGCAGAGCCCCACTTCGGGCTCAATCCCGGGACCCTAAGATCATGACCTGAACTGAAACCAAGAGTCAGATGCTCAGCCGACAGCCACCCAGGCACCCCTGTCATTTTCTCTTTTAAACCTTATTGTTAGCTAAGAAACTTTACAAGAAAAAAGGTCAGCTTGCTTTGTTTTTACACAGAAGTTGACTTACAAATTTTTCAGCCTCGTCCGGAGTCTAAGCCTGAGTCTCAGATTCCACCGCAGAGGCCTCAGAGGGATCAAAGAGTGCGAGAACAACGAATAAATATTCCTCCCCAGAGGGGACCTAGACCAAGTAAGAGCTCAGAATGGTGACTTCTCTAGTTTGGGGGAATTTGAGGTGAGAGCTTGTGTCTTAGGGGTGGTTGATATTTTCTACTTTAAAAAATTCTGGAGCTGGTGGAATTACCTGGGTTTAGGGGTGGAGAAAAAAATTATTGAATGAAATAGTCACTGAAAAATGTCTTTCTCTGTCTTTCATTGCTGTTTTTGTTTAAGTCCGTGAGGCTGGTGAGCAAGGTGATGTTGAACCCCGAAGAATTGTGAGACACCCTGATAGTCACCAACTTTTCATTGGCAATCTGCCACATGAAGTGGACAAATCGGAGCTTAAAGATTTTTTTCAAAGTAAGTTGAGTTTTATATATTTTTAATTTATACATCTTTTTTTTTTTTTTTTAAAGATTTAAGAGAACGAGAGGGGGGATTGTGAGAACAAGTGGGGGCGGGCAGAGGGAGAAGCAGATTCCCTGCAGAGGAGGGAGCAATGTGGGACTCGATCCCAGAACCCTGGGATCATGACTGGAGCCGAAGGCAGATGCTTAACCGACTGAGCCACCCAGGTACCCAAGTAGGTTGAGTTTTAAACACTAGATTCATCTAATGCAGTGTTGTCCAATAGAAATAGATGAGCCACATACATAATTTTAAGTTTTCTAGTGGCCACATTTTATTTTATTTTTTTAGTGGTCACATTTTAGAAAGTTAAAAAGAAATCTGAATTTAATTTTAATATTTTATTTAACCCAGTGTATCTAAAACATCATTTCAACATGTAAAAATGAGAGATATTTTGTTTTCCTGTACTAAAAGTTTTGTAAGTCCAGTGTGTATTATGCTTAATGGCACTTCTTGTTTTGGAATTGCCACACTTCAAGTGGTCTCTATGCACATGTGACTAGTGGCTATCAGTGGATAGTGTGCGTGTAATATTTAAAGGAAATGTTCTAATCAGTTATTTGAGAGTCTGTGTTTCACTTGCAGGTTATGGGAATGTGGTGGAGCTACGCATTAACAGCGGCGGGAAATTACCCAATTTTGGTTTTGTTGTGTTTGATGATTCTGAGCCTGTTCAGAAGGTCCTTAGCAACCGGGTAAGCAGTTTTTCATCTTGATTTTTTTTTTTTTTTTTATTTTAACAAGAGTATCTTGGATCTTTGAATGTATTCATCCTTAAAACTATGTCTTCTGAGTAAAGTACAATTGATTCCAACATGTTTGGGTAATATATTCCATGGTGATTGGCCATTACTGTTGAAAGACTTGTCTGGGAGTTTAACAAAACTTCTGTCTAAATATCTTAATTTTGGAGCTATTGAATGTGAAGAGATGAAGTAACTAATAGTTAACCAATGCACTGAGATTTCTTTCCTTGCGGGGGGTGGGGGGGCAGGTTCTGGTTTAGGAGATGAAATACAATGTTAACTTTTAGCTGAGATAACTTAAAAGTCAATTTTCCCCAGGCAGTTTTGATATATGGCTGTTATATGGATCTAACTATGAGGAGCTTCTCCTTTTATTCTATAAGTTGTCTAGGTTTGGAGTCACCCTGCCTGGAACCACTTTTATTTATTTATTTATTTTTTAAAAAGATTTTATTTATTTATTAGAGAGAGAATGAGAGATAGAGAACATGAGAGGGAAGAGGGTCAGAGGGAGAAGCAGACTCCCCGCTGAGCAGGGAGCCCGATGTGGGACTCGATCCCAGGACTCCAGGATCATGACCCGAGCCGAAGGCAGTCGCTTAACCAACTGAGCCACCCAGGCATCCCTGGAACCACTTTTATTAACAGATCGCTTCTTAACAGTACTTTCTAATCATAAGAGGGATTTTGTAGAATTGGAATCAGTTCTTAAGGAACCCTTCCCTTCCCCCACATCTTTCATTAGCAAAAAAAATCACTTTTTAGTAAATAGTAGAGAAGAACAAAAGTGTAAATATTTATTTACTGAGGTGGGTGTGGGAGTTTAAAAATCCCACTTTTAAAAAAATTTGAGGTGAAATTCACATAACAAAATTAACCATTTTAAGGTGTAAAATTTAGTGGCTTTTAATACATGTTGTTGTGCAACCATCACCTGTCTTGCTACGAAACATTTTTATCAAAAGTAAACCGTTTATCCATTAAGCAGTCCTTTCCCATATCTTCTCTCCCCGGCCCTTGGCAACAACTAATCTTTCAGTCTCTGCAGATTAAAACTACACATTTTATTAACCATGAAATAGAAATGTTGTAGATCATTATTTCCCAGAGGTTCTATAGAATCTCTGATGTTCACAGTGTTGATGGCTATACTGTAAAATTTAATGTTGTGGTTTTAACATTATATGAGCCTTAATCTGCAAATGTGTATTTAATTTTTCAAACTATTTGACCACTGTTTTTATGAAGCATCTCCTGCAAAACACTTAGAAATGAGGAGAGAACAGTGGCTTGTCTTAGCATAGCCACAGAATACCAAACCTAGAAATGTCGCATAGGCTTTGTGCATAAATCCATCATTCAGCATGCAAAAAAGATCCAGTGGCCAGCCTTTTTGGTGCAGGCTTGAATTCATCCTTAGAGGGTCTGATATTCCCAGTGGGCCAAAAGAGGTCAGACCTTATAACTGGCCTCTTAATTGTCCGGGGTAAGGAGTTTGTTTCATTTAATGCACCTGAATAAGCCGTGGCATCTTTATGCTTAAGAATATTTTGAAATAATTTTTCCTCAGAAAGGACCTATATGTTTGGTACATTTTTCTCATTCAAATTACTTCTACGCTTGTGATAACTCCTCAGAGATGTCTTCAGTTACTACCTTTTAAAACATACCCAGCCTCAATCTCTCTCCGTTATCTTTCAGACTTTAATATGGTCTCGTTTTTCTCATTGTATGTAGAATATTGCCTGGAACAGGGCTTCAGATTAATGTGTGTGAAGAGGTTTATATAGTGTGCATATTAAAATGTTAAATATTTTTAATATTTTAGTGTTAAATGTATTTATGAATGTACAAATAAAATATGCATTTAATCAGAATTTTATTTTTTATTTTTGTTTTTTTAAAGATTTTATTTGAGAGTGGGAGTGGGAGAGAGGAGAGTGCAGGGGGAGGGGAGAGGGAGAAGCAGGCTCCCCATTGAGTAGGGAGCCCAATGCGGGGCTCAATCCCAGGACACCAGGATCATGACCTGAGCGGAAAGCAGATGCTTAACTGAGCCACCCAGGCACCCCTAATCAAAATTTTAAATATGTTACAGTTAGAGTTCTGAAGAGGCCTTTCTGGGGCATCTGTGGTTTAAAGTGTATACTTCCCTGTCAGGATGCCTTCATTTACATTCTGCTTCCATTGTTCATTAGGTTGTGACCTGTGGGTTAGTTCCTTAACCTTCCTGGCCCTTAGTTTGCTGGTCTCTCAAGTAGGTGTAATGACAGCCCTCAGACGGTTGTGAATGTTAAATGAGATAATAGGTGTGAAGTATACAGAACGCTTCTCTGCATAGTAAGCACTGTTAGATACATACTTTTAGAAAATATGTCACTTAAAAAACCAGTGCGTGCCAGTGAGGAGCATAAATTGAATTCATTGTAATCCCGAGTAATCCTTTATTTTCTACTTTAGATCTGTTGGGCTAAAAGGAAGGCCCAAGACATAGGATATATCTTTTTTTCCTTCGCTGAGCTCTGTTAACTTATCATCTTCAGTATTTTCCAAAATTTTGTTAAGGCAAATAGCATTTTGTTACAGTTCTGTTTAGTTGGAATTAATGATGTTTTTGAGATGGATGTGTACTTTGCATAAATGTGCAGCCCAGTCTTTCCACATTAGGTGGTGATGGAAGATTATTCTAAGTCTTCAAATCCATGGGGAAGGTGGCAATTCTTATTTATATTCTATTTCTATAATTCTATGGGAAAGTTAAGATTTGCTCTAAGAAGTACGAGAGTTACTTGTGCTGCTGTGTTGTAAATTGTCTTTTTTTGAACTAGCTTCCATACCCAACTCCTCCCACCTTTGCAGGTATTTGTTAATTGGGAGAATTACGTGTTCTGAGTTGGAAATAAAAACTGAACTGAGAACATAGCTGATTTGTAAGCTGCTAGTTCTTCGTAATAGCTTTATTTCTTTTATATTTGGTAGTTGGAAGCCCATAAGCACATAAGCACTGTGTAAGTCTGCTTACCTTGATTCCTGCAGCCCATCATGTTCAGAGGTGAGGTCCGTCTGAATGTGGAAGAGAAGAAGACTCGAGCTGCCCGGGAAGGGGACCGTCGAGATAACCGCCTGCGGGGACCTGGAGGCCCTCGAGGTGGGCTGGGTGGTGGAATGAGAGGCCCTCCCCGTGGAGGCATGGTGCAGAAACCAGGATTTGGAGTGGGAAGGGGAATTGCTCCAAGGCAGTGAATTGCTCTTCAGTTGATCTTCACGCAGCAGCAGTACAAATCTTCTAGCTCCTGCAGAATGGTGAATTTCTTACACCAGCGTTTGGTATCCTGGAGTTTGACCCTAGTCTATTATAAACTGCTTAAGTTTGTACAATTTTACTTTTTGTGTTAATTATGTGTGCTCCCTTTCCCACCCTTCCTTCTCCTCACCTTTTAGTCCTTCACTTCCAATTTTGTGGAATGATATTTTAGGAAAAACAGATTTTTAAAGAAGAGAAAAAGACTGAATTTCCTTGCTTTACTTTTGCATATACAGACTGGATTTTTTTTAACAGCCGTTTCCCCAAAGGAATGTGTCTTGCTTATTACTGACATTTGGTATGTTTCATTCATTGGAATATTATTTTCTATGTGTTTCAAAAGCCTGTGAGAAACACAGGATTTGATAAACATTTTGAAGGCAGGAAAAATCCAAATTGTTTCTTCTTTGAGAGTCATGACTACCTTCTGGTGTGTAGAAATTGCCATTGGAAAAATTGACAGTTTTGATTCTTGCTGGTATGGTTAAAAAAATAAAAGGTGTTAGTAGAGTTTTTTTTTTTTTTCTTTTGATATGTGATCACAAAACAAATATAAACCTGTTTTTACCATTTAAATTGTGAGAAAGGTTTTAAATGTCTAGAATGCAACTGATCTAGATTTCTTTTGAAGTAGTTTTTTTCATGTTTAATTTGTATTTGTAAAAAAACAAAACAAAAACCCAAAAACAAAGAAACCCCAAAATCCAAATAACACAAAACCAGAGCAAAACTGTTGTGCCTTCTATTTATCTTTGATTCCAGCCTTGGCAGTTGTTTAAAGAAAAAAAAAAAGTCTAGATTTGTTTTATCAGGTGTAGAGTATGTTGGGAATTGAAGAATCCCTCTTTTGACCTGGTATGTCTTCTGTTCATTTGTTATGCCTTATTCTTAAAATTGAGTCTCAAACTGGAATTCTTTTAAGGACAGATATGCTTCTATGAGAGGTCCTTTGACCTAAGTAGTCCAGCATTTGTATTAAGTTTTATTTCGGTAAATATTCAGAATCTTAATCATAGCCCATAAAAAGGAATATGACTTTAATATTGGACTTTGTGCTTGAGTGTCTGCCCGTTTTTTTTTTTTCTTTAAATCATAGCCATATGGTAAATTTTCTATTTTGTTATGGTTCTCTTATTGATGGGCATGCAGTGGGTGTTTCTTGGAAATGGCCAATTTTTATTAAAATATTTCTGGAAGAAAATTTAATCTGGCAGTATAGACTAATATTCGTTTTACATAGTATGTTAATTTTTTGAGTGCCGTGTGTGAGATGGGTGAAGGTTTTGTTTACACATTTGTGAAGCAAGCCTTTTTGTGATAACTTGTCATACTAATTGAAGGGCAACGAGGTTGTCAAATTTAACTTATTTATTTTCTTAACAGTGTTCATCAGTAGGACTGTTTGAGGATAGTATATGAGTAGGGATAGGAATGTTTGTTTTGCTGTTACTGGGAAATTCTAGGTTTGCTGAAGGGTGTAGTCTTAAAATGAAGTTCTATATTATTGGTCCTCAGTACCTGAAATATTTGAAAATTGGCAACATCTCCTTCATAAAGAAATGTAACTGAGTCACATGGCTTTTTTGGGTCAGCTTAAATAACTATTTGGTAACCACTTCATTTGGCCCAGGCCAGTGATAATTGGAAGACATTCAGCTTGTACTTTTGTAGCTTATATTAAGCCTGTGGTGGAAATAAAAAAACTTAGCTGGAGTTGTTTTTGAAAAAAAAAAACAAAAAAAACAAAACTAAGTTGTAGTAACTGTAAGGTCATAAATTACGGATAACCTAGAAATCATTTTCACAGGTAAATGTTAATCCATATATTTCACTAGGCATTTTTCCTACTCAGTAGTTTAAGGGCACCAACTGGATACAGTGATTCTCAACCCAGGCTGTTAATACATCCTAGAGGACATTTGGAAATGGGTGAGACTTGGGGAGGAGGGAAGAGGAGACGCCACATCTGGCATTTAGTGGGTGGGGCCAACAATGTCAAATGGTCTATAAAAATAAAGCAAACGCCATTGAGATCATGGGTATTCCTCATTCCCTATAATACATGGAGGATGGAAGGGAGGGGTGGGTGAGGACAACTGGAGTAAAGACTCAATCCTTTGAAAAATAGCCTCAGATAAATGAATTAGTAAATAGAAATCTCTTTCAGGAATTAATAGTAACATCTACTGCAGGGACTTTCCTTTATTTGTACCCATGTGTGATTTTTAAAGAACTATTTGGAGAGGTAGTAACAATATGTTAGATGCTTCTTTTAACTTGTTGTATAAGCTTAGAAAACAAAAGGGTTGCTTCAGTAATTTCAGGTCATCAGAATGGGATGATTGTGGAGTTTTAAATAGCATTGGACTTTATATGTCAGATTTGGCATCATGGTTAACACTATGAAGAATCCCAGTATCATTGTTTACATTATTGCTGATAGAATAAACATGACACCCTAGATAGTATATATTCACACAGGTAGAAAGTGAAAATAGGTTAGGGCAGGATTTTCTAGGCAGCATAAGGTCATCACAATTCAACCTTTTCGGGTTTTAAAATGCAACTTTTCAACTGTAAGAATGGCCCAATATACAGTTCTTTTCTCCTGAGCTTTAAACCCTTCACCCATGAGTATTTTAGCTAAGTAAGGTTAGTTTGGTTCAATGGGTCTTCCTCTTTTAAGATCTTGGGCCTTACAAAAATACATTGTGTTTTTTGTGGTGAGGCTGGGCTTTACTTGTGTATTCCTATGTTCTCAACTTTTTGAGCTGTTGCTGGGAGTACTGAAATGGGTAATCCAAAAATCATTAATTGGCTTTTGGGTGGTGGGTAGGTTACTACCACAGTATTGGTTGAACTGCACTTTGGTTTTAGGTTAGAAAACTAATTTTCACAATTACCCTGTGGATTAGGTGCTATTTTTCCCAAAGTAATAGATGAAGAAGAAATTGCATCAGAGCAGTTAAATTTTAGGCCTCTAAGTTATCCATGTAATAAGAGCAGATTGACTTCCAAAATTGATGCTTTTTCTCTAGAGCTCTAATGCCTACGTATTTACATTTGAGTGATACACTGAAAAATAGGATATGACCATAGTAAGTTACTACAGTACAGAGAACCGAGTCTGTAAAACATTCAGAGAAAGGTTAACATTACTCTTCTCCATTTCCTTTAAGGTAAACAAGGAAACACTGATTTTGCAGGGCTCCTTTTGATTTGAGACTGTGGTAACACAGTAACAATGACTTGTTCTTAGGTTATTTTCTCATCTGGTTTTTTAATACATGTAGTACAACCTTGAAATGTGGATGTAGAAGGTAACAATATTTTTATAATACTTAATGCAGGTGGGTTTGTAGCAGTTGTGTTTTCCGCTTATAACTACCATCCTTTGATACTTTTCTTCATCCCTTTATTTTGAAAACCCTTGTAGAATTTAATAATTTAGTTGGAAACGTGGCACTTTATAGAAAACAATTTGTTGGAATCTATATGGAAATCTTTATGAGGTTTAAATTTATAGACCATTGTTTATGCTGAGTGGCTTACTCCTTTTAAGTAAATGGTTGCATTTGTAAAATCTACTGATCTAAAGGTAACTTACTGAAGTTTTATTTTCATGCTACTTAAAAGAATCTCTACAGGAACTGCATACAAATGAGATGATTGACCCTTTCGTTCAGCAGTTTTAAACTTTGTAAAAAAATAACTTCGTTCATTTGAATATGGGATTTTAGATAACCGCCTAACATACCACAGATGGGCAGTGGACAGTTAGACATAGTCTTCCACAAATGTTTTAGAAATCTTAAAGAATGTGTTAGAAACTTAGCAACATTTTGTGTGGGAAGTTGCTGATCAAGTAATCGCCATGTGGCACTAGATCAGTAAAGATTTCTGGTTTTAAGGTAGTAATACCTTTTGGGATTTGTATTTGTTTACTGTGATATTGAGGTTCTGGGGACCATAGGTATGCTTGTGAACTCTTAGGAGACTATATTAAAGGAGAAATGGTAGCACATGTGATATAAAACTTCTTAGTGGATATGTAGCTAGCTCAGGATAATGCTGAAATTAGTCTGCTTTGCTCATGCTTTCATAAAACAGTCTCATTATGGCCTGAATGAGTAAAAAGTTGATTAGCAGTGGTGTGAAAAACCCATGGTTTTGGTTTTGATTATATATTGGCTTAGAATTAAGCTTGTTCACTTTCTGATTATATGACTTGCTTTGAAAACCTTGGACAGTCTCTGCTTCTCTAGTTTCCCCTTGAACCTGGTAGTTTTTTTTGTTTTGTTTTTAGTTCCCTACAAGAGAATCTCTTGTAGGGAACTAAAATAGTATTGGAAATCAGTTCCACGGTTACTTCCATAGACCATGTGACCTGGCCAATTACAGAAATCTGTACACGTTGAGTACTTTGGAATATGGCCAGTGTCACAGATCCCTAAGGGACTTACAGCCATCCAGTGTGTCTTCATCTTTTAAGAAAGCAAATTAAGGGATTTTTACCAAAAATTCAATATTGAATTTAACAAATATTTATTTTTCAGAACCCTGCTTATGGGAAGTTTGCCTGTATTTTTGGTAGTAATTAGATGATTATATCTTATTCTGGATGTAAACAAGTTTTAACTATTGCTGTAATTAACCACCTTCGTTACTGATTTTTTCCCCAAGCTTTGATGTCACCTGTTGGACTTTGGATTTGGTTTAAATTCTTAAATGTTTTTATGAAGTGTATATACACTGATTTGGCCCTTTTAAATGAAGACACTATACCAAAAAATTGGCATAAAGAAGTTAGGGGAGAAGAACAGGTCTTCCTTTCTTTAAAGATTCAGTGTATGCTTAAGTAGATTATGTAGAACACATCATGTTACAAGTAAGTTTATACAGGTAGATGTTAGATTTTGAAGAAAGGATGGAGGTGGAACTTAGCTGATGGGATAGCAATCATTTGTGATGTATATGGAAAAAAATCATAATCTAAGTGAGAAATATCAGAATATTGAAAGTTTTTCTTCCCATTCTGATTATTAACCATAAGAGGCAGGAGAGAGTCCTAGAATTCTTTGAATCATAGAATGCTGGAAAGGACTAAAGAGTTTGTACATCCCCTTCATCTTTCAAAAGAGAGATAGCTCAGGGAATGGATTATTAGCACAGAGTCCCATATTGGCTTGTAGAAGTAACATGGAGCACCGTCAGGGTCACCACTCTGCCCTAGGTTCACTGTAGGAAGCCAGAACTGTTAAAGGTCAGGATGTGGGGAGAAAAGGGATGGAGCCACATTTTATATGCCTATTCAGTTGCTTCTGTAGCTCAGTTTTCATACCCAGTTTTTCTCTGTCTTAATGCCCAGTTCTACCAGGGCCTGTTGTCTAAGGACATTACCTTGTGCTCCCCTCAGGGATGGGTTTACTACTAGCTGTCAGAAAGCTATTGGGTATCCTAGTGTGTTAATAGCTGAAACTCAGCTGTAATTTTCTCCTAAATCCTTC